GAATGGGACCATTAGTCTGTATTTCAGTGCAGGGTTTTACCCACATCTCACACAGCTTGGATTTGACAACTCAGAAAATAGCTTCCCTGTAGTAAAGTTGCCCTTTCTCCCCAAAGAGTACAGCTGGACACGAGGGTGTGTAGGGAAGCAATGCAACAACCAATGGTCTAAACCACCTATCCTAAAAATTTACATGTTTTCTATAAGGGCAGCGCACATCAGTGCTTCATCCAAAGAGGTTTCTGCTTCCAACAGCCAATTTCCATCTTTAAATCAGTTAAGACTGAAGTCTTGATAAAAATTCTGTGAATGCCAAAGAAGTTCCCCCACGGTTACACCTCCAGAGTTTGATCCCCTCATGTGCTCTTCCAAATCTGCCTGTCAGCCCTGGGGATGCCACACTAATCTCTGTATCATTCCAGTTTTAGTCTATGTACCACCAAAGAAAAAGGCCTTCCTTAATCCTAGCACCTGTGGTTTTAATCATCACAGGAAATCCTGTTTCCACTGAAGTCAGTAAGACTTAAGTATCAGCAAAGGAAAATGAGCAGATCCACTAACTAAAAATATTTTTAAAAAGGGGGTGGTGAGGGAGAAATATAAGCGCAGTGGTTTATATACCAGAGGTCCCTGACATCTATTTCTAGCAAGCATGACAAAGTAAAGACAGTAGAGTAAAAGTCATCCCCTTAATCTCAATGTTTCAACTCCTGACCTGCATCTCTTTCTCGGTATTACAGCTGTTGCCTTCTATTTCCAAACTGCTCAGTGATGATTTGGGTTAAACCTCACTAAGTAACACACAAGTGATATCTATAAATACTGTATTCCTAACAGAGCATCTACTGGAGTTTATGCAACAAATTAAAGTTATGCAACTCAAGTTAGAATACACACCCAGATTGCACTGCTGAAAGTTTTAAGAATAACGTATATAGAGCAAGATTAATGGGCAGCAACTTCAAAAATGGGCCAGCCAGTAATGCCATATTTTAAGTCATACTCTGCAGCTACAATAAACAAACAGCCCCCCTGGATCTGGAGTTCTGTCTTCTTCACAAGCTGCCTGCCCAGTCTGCACAGAAGAAAAGCTCTAATAAGCTAATGCAGCTTCAGAAATGTATTTCCCTGATGGTCCTTAAGCAACACATGTTCAAGATGATCCTAGCGGGTTTACAGAAGGCAATGCATTGTTTTATATTACCTCAGGAAAAACAAAACAAAACTCATGTGACACCAAGCTTTTGAGCTGCACTCGCCAAACCAGCTCCGTAGAAGGTATTTGTGTTGCCTCTCAGCCTTACACGTTTTTAAACCGGTTTTCTATGCCTGGCTACTGAAATCAATGAAATCAGTACTCCTGAGTGGCTGATGAGACTACACTCTTTCAGCCAGATGGTTTGAGCTTGGTGACTCCATCTAGAAATAGAACAGGAAGATCCGTTTCTGTGATAGTGATAATTTTGAGCCAGATCTAGATTATTTTAGAGCCAGACCTTGAACAGGCCACCTATATGGAGTGGAAAAGGTGTTCAGTATCTACTTCTCATGAAGCAATGGACTTTGAGACAGGATTGCAGTTAAAGACACCTACTCTCCTAGTTTTTAGCTGGGCCTTGCGGACCCAGCAGGCTACGATATTTACACAACTGCTCAGCTTTCCCAGCAGCAGAGCTTCCAAGCTCTGTACCCAGAGAGAGATGCTCTGTTCTTTCCCAATTCATGTCACCCAGAGGCACCAACTTGGGTCCAGGCTGCCCCCGGTAGGCAAGGAGCAGCTCCACCTACCAGGCTCACCATGGGGCTGAGCACAGTTCCCCATCCAGCCATACACCATGCGTGAATTTGTGCAACACCCCTTTTTGAAACTCTAACAGCAACCATGATCCCCCCAGCTGGGTGGTTTGCACTGGGAGTGTGCTCAGTGAAGTGTCCTCCAGAAGGAGGACCACCTGAGAGCCCCTCCCCTATCATCCAAGGCAGGACAAATATCTTTAAAAAGCATAAGGAAGAGCAAAAGAATTGTGGTGTTCCTCCAGAAATTCAAAAGTCCTATATTTTCCAGAAGAATAAGAGAAAGATATCGTGTAAACAAGATTTAAGAACAACAGATAAGAAGAATGGAAGAATGATCTTCATTAAACTTACCAAAGCCCCATCTGTCCTCTGGACATTAATGTCTAAACTCTCCATCATGGATACAGACCGACAGCTGAAATGCCTCTCACAAATATGTAAGTGTCATATTTGCTTTCAGAAATATGTGACAGCATATTTGCTCTCACAAATGTGTCATTTGAATATCCACCTTGTTAACAGCTAGGTCAGAGCTTAGAAAAGCCTACACATTGGCTGACAATGCAGATGTCAGACCCAGTACCATCTCATAAAGGACCTGAGTCCACAGACCCATCACTCCAGTCTCTTAAGAAATTAAAAGAAATTAATTTGTCACAAGGCAGATGGTCCAGCTTCAACAGTGAATGAGAAGAACTAAAGACAACGGTCTTTCTCTTGTAAACATAATACTGACATTATAGAAAGATGCATAGGTAATTTGTTTCCCTTCTTACTTCAACTATCTTCTTTACAAAAAATCTATTTCACTTCTGCTTTAATTCTAGGGAATGACACCAAAACTTAAAACAAAAGAATCCTCCAGCAGTTACAAAAAAAAAAGGCAATAAAGTAACTAACATAGCAGATGGAGAGAACAGCAGTAGCACTGGCAATCCTGATCTGACCCGCTCGTTGCACTGTCCAACACCAGACAGGTGTTCAACATCTTGGAAGGCCTGACTGGTCCCTTTACTAACACAACCTGCAAGAATGAATGTCACTATATCATCCCCCAAGCTTTTTTGATTTGTTTGATCAATGTTCTAACTGGAAGTATATTTATACTTACGTCTAATACCTTTCTACCCGCAACTTCCTACTTGTCCAATACATCGCTGCCCACAAACTCTGCAATTTATGGATCACTTGAAAAATAAAAATCCTCTTTAGATAAACCGTACACAACCTGAAAGTCAATGCCATAAATATTCAAGATAATAATCAAAACCAAACATCCGCATAATCAAGAAAGCTTTCCACTACCATTTTGCTTAGACAAAACATCACTTGTATGTATTTCTGTTCTGAACAAGAATGGGAATGGCCTTCTTCACTGGGATAGAAAAACAAAGTTAAAACCAACAAGGACTTGGAACAGCCAAAGGTCCTCAATCGTAATATCCAAGATTACAACCATTGTGCCATTTATTAAGGGCTCATGAATGGCTAGTGGAGTCTTTAAGTACTTCAATATTCAGACATGTTAAAACTACAGCAAACAGCCCTCTGTTACCTTCTATGTGATCATACATACCTATAATAGACATTACTTAAAGACCTGATTAATACATAACACCAGCAGGCTGCATATTTAACCATTTCCAAACTATGCATTAAGTTTCTGATAAGTGTGACCAGTATACCCTTTAAGTGAAGTATTTCTACTAGTTAGTTAGCTACTTCTGAGAACACTTATGTCTGTAAGAAATCCTAGTGGTATCAAACTTCAGCGCAAGTCTGATCCTGGTTAGCAGTTCACAATTCACACCACATACACTGAAAACAGAATTAAGAAACACTAAGAAAACATTGCAAAATAATACTCAAAAAGTTCACTCACTGGCATGAGATGCTGGGCTATTGAAATGACCAAGGGACTGTGAAGAAATAATGTTTTTTTATGAGTCTTCCTAAAATCACCTTCCAAAGTGCCTCTTGAAAGCCATTTGTGCTCGTGAGGTCATATCTGAAGGCTTGACAAAAAGTGTCCTAATGCATTTTACAATTTGATATCCAACAGATGAAACACATAGATTTAAACAAAAGGAAATAATTTCAAAAGATGAAGCCATTACACAAACACAAGCATCTTTGGTGTTGAAGCTATTCAGTTTGACTGGAGTTTTATTTCAACATGTCCCCTAAGACAGAAAAGGAATTAAAAAGATGCATTTGAAAACAAAATGCTTTGTCTATCAGCCATTCCTGTCAGTCTGAAAAAGAATGATTAAGTAAAAGCTCTTATCTGCTAGGTCATTTGCAGAGGTAGACCTTTGAGGTTTACATACTGACAAGAGGTTAAAAGCCACTGCTTTAGAACAGCAGTAAATGAAATTGACAGTCTTCTACCATGTGTTAAACAAGAACTTCTCTATTTCCAGTGTCTGCCACTAAGGTCCTAGAGTCTAAATTTAATGTCTTATTTAGCACTAGGATCTTATCTACTTAACAAGATCCTAAGCGTCTTCACTACTTCAAGCCTTCTCCTGGCCCTCTTACTCCTTACCTCAGCAAGTCTTGAAGAAATCATTGAGCAATTTGCAGGGGCTGGAAGTGAACAACATTGATGATTGCCCTGTGTGGATATTAACTATGCCAGGACTCATTTCATAAGAATGAGGAGTTTGTCATTTTAAGTTGTGCAGGCTGTTGTGTGCCAGATGACTTCTGCTTTCCTCTCTGGAGACAGCTACTAAGCCAGCTCTGAACAGATGCGGCTTTACAGACCACCTTCTTCTGGAAGCATCAGATAGTCAAAACACTTTTATGACCTCCAAACAATTCATTTCTCTATTTAAAACAAAACACACAATGAAAAGCCCTATGTCCACTAGGAAGCGGCAGGGGCCCCCAGGTAGCAGCTTCCAGCTCTTTTCTTCTGCTCAACCTGAGACCCCAGGAGAACCTGCCTCACAGCTGCAGAAGTGGGAGATCTTCACTCTGTGTTTTAGCAGGGAAGAAAGATGCCAAGCTGCAGTAGCACCAGGCACAACAAGAATATTCTGCTCCTGAAGCATTTCCCTAACAGCAGGCTGAAGAAAAGCAGGGAAAGATGGTCTTTTTCTTTTTTTTTCTATAGGCCAACTCATGCTTTCCTTGCTGAAAAAAGTTAGCACAATTAACGTGAAGAGAAATTAGACCAGAGGAAAAGAGACACGGGGAAGAGCTAACCCTGGGCCTTCTTTTATTAAACAAAACTTTGTTGCTTTGCAATCCATAGAATATTAAACTCTACATACTCTGGAGTTGGCTTGAAGCCTAACAAAACTGGAACCACCCCATCTTTATTGGCTTTATATAGATAGGTACAGAAATATACAAAGTTGAGATGATTCATGCGCTCTGGAATGAAGGGCAGCGGCAGAGCTTTGCTTGAGCAGAGATATTCATGGGAGCAGGCAAAACAGACCGAGTACTCTGACTGCTGGGAAAAGCCACTGAAGGTTGTTCTTGGTAGCTACCAAAAAGGAAGAACATTACTGGAAAAGAGGGTAGGGCAACTGATCCCACAGCTGAAAGTGACCGGAAAGTGTCTGGGCTAAACAGGGTTTAGCTCTCGTTTTGAATTGCTAATGAATCAAAACAAAACTTGTGAAATAAACCAGCCACCAAAATGCCTAAAATTAAAATATACTACTCCCACGTGTCTATAAGAGTCCTGAGCTTATTTCTCTTTTGCAGGTAGTTACCAATTTAAGGTATTCTAGGAGTTTTTCTCCATACGGCACATGCAAAGGCAAGGTACAGTATCAAAATTAAAAAAATAACCAATATACATAAAACTCCCGAGTCTCATGCTATTTAAAAGGCAAGAAATGCTCTCAATTTATAGGCAAAAAGTACTGCTACACGTTCTAAATGAAATGGAAGCTCAAGACATTTTTAGCAATATTGATATATTCCATGTTGTTCTTAAATACAAAAGTGACACTTCAGTGATTTAATCAAAACATTACTTCAAAAATGCACAAATAAAACTCATAAACACCCAAGTATTCTATAACTATTCTGAAAGTACTTTGAAATTTTTAATAATCACCTGAGGATGTTGCAGTTCCTAAGAGCAACTAAATTATTTTCCAAAAGTTTGATCTCAGCCTGGTGATACCAAACAAGAGAACGAGTGTGCATTTAAGGGTCCTGATGCAGTTTTTCCGCACAAAGCAACTGAACTCTGCAGAAAGAAAGCAATGTCAAATTAGACTATTATGCTGCTTCATAGATTCAAAATTCATCATAGTATACTTTTGTATTGCACGAGTGAGATGCCAGCTCTGGCTGAACAGCTGTACAGATGTCTAGCCTTCAGAAGCTGGGATAACCACGTCAAACTTCTGTGGTTTTGCCACTTGATATTTTGGGTGTATGCCTTCATTTGTGATAATAAATATCAGGCCACAAACTAATGTTTCCTCAGATATCTAATATGTTTAACACTCCAAACAGCTTGAAAATCTAAACATTTCTGCTGTTAGCTTTGAGTTCTCCTCAAAGAATATTGCTACAATATATACCAGATGAATAGGCTAGGGATAACACAACCATTGCCAGTTGTTAGGATGGGTTTCTCTACCATTTTGTATGTATATTTTTTATCCTGCAATATCCACAAAGTTCAAACCCCTTCCCCTCCTCAATGCCTTCATTAGGAAAATCTAAATCCACTGTCCTATGACATGTTTCAGTGCTGAAAACTGAAAATTTGAAAGTCATTTCTAATCATATCTTGCACATAAGCAGGTACAAAGAAAGGTTTGTATGTAAGACATCTGTAGAAACAGTACTATGTATTTTAAGTATCAATTAATAGGCCCCAAGGCATTTTCTTCACATAGCAAACGGGGAAATGCGATAGCAAAGTTAAACAAACGACACAGCCAGCCTGGAACAGTGAAGGCAGCAGAATTCAGCCCCAGCCTCTCATTTAGAACCCTCTAATCCCAATGCATTTCCTTCTATATGCATATGCTTATACAAAATATATTGTTATTATGTGTGTTAGGTTATGCGCCTTCACAACCAAACAACTAATTAGGAGAAATTGCTCTAGCTTTAACAAAACCATTAGTGTTACACTGACAAACGTCTTCCAAAATTTGGTACTGTTACAGTACCTCCCTAAGAGGAAGGGCTTTTTTGTTAGACCCCTTTACAGACCTGAGGAATTAGCATTATAGCTGACTAAACCCACAGGATGGATCTCCGAGATTCGTCTCCTTACTGAAAAAGGCCAGAACACCAGAACTGCAAATGAAGCAACACTGAATAAAATTTTATGCCACATTGCTAGCAAAGCCCTCCCTCCTCCAAAAAAAACAATAGCATGACTGTCCTTTCCTCTCTTACCAGTCTCTGAGCTTATACAACTTCAGACTTGCAATGGAAAAACTATACATACATATATATAAATATAAAAGCCAATCAGTAGGGTCAAATCTCTCTTTTTACAGTTATTTTTTTAATGTTTCCAGAGTTGTCTCCAATCAAACTAATTCTCCAAGACCAGAACTATCACATTAATGGTTACTTTTCTTTATTATCTACAAAACCTTTTCTGGCCAAAGTAGTAGAGACTCTATAGGAGCCTGATAACTTTACAAGGTGACGGCACTTCTGTGTTTATTGTAAGCCATTTCTATTGCGAATTGCTAACAACTTTTCAAAGGGCAACACTGATTTGGAAACGCAGGCACACTAATACATCAATTGCCATGACTAATGTATAAACTTTTAATGACCTTGGCAAAATCTTTCTTTCATTGGGCAGGTTCCACTATTTTGACTGTACAAAATGTTTTGGAAATATGTTGAAAATTATACATGTTTTGGAAAATATTTCAGGATTTCAGTATAATGAAGCTGTATTTAAAAGTTTGACATGAGGGAAAAAACACTCCAAAGTTGTGCAAGTCTTTTTTTTTTTTTTAAAAAAAAAGAGATATCCTCCAAGTGTTGTACATTCACAGAATGCTAACTTTTTATCCAAACAAAGTTAAGAAGATAAAACATTATCCTGAATGGTTTTCAGTTTCATTCAGTCACTGTCATCTTCTTGCTTCAGACCACCTCCCTGTTCAATACCGGCCTCTCCATCGCTTTCCTTGTCCCAGTCTTTCATAGATGCTCCCATCATGAAGTCATCACGCAGTATATTCCATTCTGGCCCCTCTTCAGACTTCACTTCACCCTGAATATTTGAGGGGAGGATAAGAGGGAATAGAGGAAGATGAGATGAATGTGAAAGGCAGTAAAAGACAGAAGCTGTTCATCCATCAAAGTGACACCTCTCACACTTTTGCGGCTTGCAGCGTCAGACCTACCAAGGGCTAGCTCTTTATGCAAATAGTATGCAAAAATATGCAAGACAATCATAAATGACTGGATGCTAATAAGCAAACTTGTTTTAACCAACCAATAAAAGAAATATTGAAACAAACCGATTATTCCTCATGGATGAAACAGTCAACCCTGGGCATGGCTTCCTTTATTAAAAATCTTTCTTGGCAATCAGAATGGATTCATGATATCATTTATTAACCCCCAGGTGCTGTTTCATTAGAACACTTCTTGGCACATCTCTAAAACACAAATATGGATTTAATAAAGGCTTAGCCCCCCCCCCGATTTAATGTTTAACATATTCTGCGATACGTGAACCAAATCCCCTTTATGTGGATTATTACCTCACTACCTGAGCTTGTCATATGGTGCAAAGCTGCCTCTAAAAGAAACAAAGTTGGATCTACACTCAGCAAGCCAACACCATCCTACTTCAGATTTCCTACCTCTTGAAAGTGGGTAAACTGAGGCCACACTACATGGACCGGTGAAAAAGAAAAGTGACAGGAGTGCAGACCTAGGCTAGCACTGAGAACAGTGCTCACTTGCAGTTGTTGTTAAGGGAGAGATGGTATTTGGGTGGTGCAACAGCCCCATCCTGTGGCAGCAGTTTTAAAGAACAGCTTGAAGCCATTCCTACATTCTTCCTTAAGGAAAATACTAAAAACTCTTCAATGTACTGAAGAAGGATTTCAGTGGTTTAAGCCTTAGTAGCAAAATACTTCTGAGGAACAACATGGCTCAGTGTCCAGCAGGCAAGCAAAAAAATTTCCTACCAAAGTGGAACCAGGGGCACAGAAAACTATAATCTACTTTTGCAGGGTCTTTGCCACAAAGTTAATATTGGCATCTCAGGTGTGCTTTTCCCACTTCTCTGCTTAAAAGGACAGATCTCAACTGGCTGACCCTAGTTTAAGTAACTACTGTCTCCTGATGGTGTACAGTGGATGGGGGGCATCGTTACAGCATCCTCTGTGGATGCAGATTTGCCTACTAGATACAAAACCCACAGTAATATGTAGTAGTTGTACATTATGATCATACTATGTACAACCCGTAGTATGATTGCTGTAGGCATTTGTTCATGCCACTTCTTTGTCGTGCACCTAGGAATACGTGGCACATAGAACAGTGTATTTAAACTGATGACTGTGCAATCTTTGGGAGAGGGCAGCAGACAGAATTTAGTAACAGGAGAAACGAGGAATAGTGAATGCAGGTCCATCACTGTGAATCTAACACACCAGAAGTTACTTCAGGGTAAAAAGTCTGCCAAACAAGATATGTATTTTTAATAGGTAACCAAAGCAGAAAAGCTAAATGTGACTTCTGCAGTTCTTTTTGAAAGATTACTCTCACAAAAGCAGGGTAACAAGTCTTAACACCTTCCTTCCCAAAAGGAATCTCCCAGGGACCAGTTAAAAAAAAAAAGAGAAACTCTACAGCTATTCCTCAAGATGCTTGCACTGTGTTTTGTTTTGGGTGTTTTGCCTTCACAGCTGCTCTCATTAATGTCGGCTCTTAAAAGTAACTTTCCCATCCCAACAATCCCCCTTTTCCCCAGGTTAGTGCCCCCTAACCACCTTCCACTCTTGCAGCAATTCACTTCAAATGCTACACCCAGTAAAGCCTGAAATCACCTCAGACAGGGTAATCAATTACCTGGAATTAAAGAGTTGGAAGTAAGGTAGGTCCCTAATTGAAACTTACGATGTTCGCATGGCAATAATCTGTACTAATGCAAACACAAGTATTGTGTTCTGGGATGCAAGGAGAGGGTAGCTTCCCCCCCACTTTTTAACTGTATTTCACTTGTTTTACATGTTTACCTTTGCACAGCACAGACAGGTTGAAAAGAGTACAAGAGTCACCAAGTTGTTTCTTTTTTAATCTTAGATCTTTTATAAATCAGTGTTTTAACATGCCACAGAGTAAAATTTGAAATACCTAAATGGAAAAATCCCATCTTCTTTACAAAACAACCCAATTTTCTTTTCTTTCCCCAATAATAATAAAGCGAAAAGAGATTCTATTTTTTCCCCAGATGTGCAGAACAGGGATTTTTGTTTTGTTTTTTAAACAAGACAGCAGCAGTAGGTTATTGTCAACAATGAAAATGAAAGGCTCAGGGTTTGAAAAGCCCAATGCTCAAATTCACCACAAGCTACTATTCAACGACCATTAGGCCTTCTTTCTGGCTATGTCAAGTGAACAACAGGACAAAAGCAGGACCTCAACAAAAGAGGGATGCTGATCCTTACCCACTATGTAAGGAACTACAAAGGTTTGAATAGAATTTTACAACAAGCCTTAAGGAGAAAGACAGAGGTAGCATGCCTGTGCCTCAAAGATGAAGATTAAATCCTTGAAAGCAAATATTTAATCAATTTTAAGCATGCTTCCAAGTGAAGAAAACCCCATGTTTACTATCTTCATTCCTAACTCATTTACTGCTCCATTTTCCCCTCAGAATAAAAACTCCCCTACTTGTGATACGATTGGATCACAAAACATTCCTGGAGCCTTAAGAAAATACGCAGCAAGACTATTTGTATAAATAACAATTAGTTCAACTGTAACATCACTTCCCAACTTTCTTTATGTAAGAATGTTAATACACTTGGGTTTTCAATGCCATAATCTGGCTTCATCTAAATAAACCAAAACTGATTCTTGGCACGTGCAAAATAAACCAGCTTTCATTCTGTACAACCGCGTTTGAACTTCCAGTCAGCTGTTCATCCACATCTCCCACATTTCACTACAACACTGAAGTCCCCTTTGAACATCCCCAAATGAAAACAAAGCAGGCTATATAAACATTAGTGTGTAATACTACATAAAGTGAGTCCTTCGGTAAGGCAAGGAGTGAAAAATTCTGGTATTGCTTTTTGTCCTCTCCTTTTTAATATACATTTGAATGTTCTTTGCCTGAAGGTGTGGCAACCTATTTCAAAAGGTCTGAGAGGCAGCAGTTAGTAGAGTATCTCAGGAGTCACCAATACATGGTGATGCACTTGTTATCATGAGCCGAAACAAGAGAGACCAACATGCACAATGTGCTTACTCTAGAGCAGACGCTTAACTTGCTGGGACAGACCAATAGTCCAGTTGAAAAGATCATATCACATCATATCATCATATAAATAACACCATCTTGCCTGCTTGGTGTGCCACCTAAGCTACCACAGCATTATCCCAAGTTGGACACAAATAGAGCTCTGTAGTGGGGACATACTTCCCAAACTAATTTTGGTTTGAAGACATACCCTCTAAAATCTGCACCAGGACAAGATGAACTTCTCAGCCAAGTCCTAATAAAGCCACCCACCCACCCAACAACAGAGCTTAGGTCTCTCACCCAGAACAAACAGCCAGCCCTTGCAGGATCTGGGCTAGAATTGCCTCCTGGATGCTTTTGGAGGAATTGGTCTACGAAAGCCTCATGGCATCAGCAGCAGCCACAGGACCAACATCAAGTTAGAAATCTCCCTGTTCTTGTTCATTTCTTTGCCCCTGCAAAAAACTTGGAGCTACGTATTTTGCTCTTGATAAATGACATTACAGTAAGAATCTTCAACTGAGACCTGCCAAACTCAATACTAGAGTTGTGGCAGACTGCACTGCCACTCAGGTGGAAGATCAGTCCTCTCTACCCCTTCTGAAGTTGTTAGAAGCAGCAGCAGGACACTTGCACATCGCCGCTTCAGTCTGCAAACGACTGCCTTACCTCAAAGCCTGCTTCCTTTGAAAGTTTAAGAGAATTCAGTTCAGTCTAAGTCACAGAACATTGTCATTTTCATCTGCTGCTTTACTGTTACAGCAACATACTAAAACCAGAACAGGAAAGTTTCCCAGAGCTTTTCAGAACTCTACACATAAGCAGACCAAAGTCATAGAATCACTGAATTGTCTTGGTTGGAAGGGACCTTTCAGATCATCAAGTCCAACCATCAACCTAATGTCGACATACACCACCACTAGCCCATGTCCCTCAGCACCACTTCTGCCTGGCTTTTAAATACCTCCAGGGACGATGATTCCACCACTGCCCTGGGCAGCCCATTCAAATGCTTAATAACCCTTTCAGTGTAAACATTTTTCCTAATACCCAATCTGATAAGTAACAAGACATGTCTTGAAATCAGAGCCAGAGTAAAGCCAGCATTTCACTCCGCTTCCCATCAGCTCATGTCACTTGAACACACCCCAGTTTCTGCATCTGCAAAACAGCCAACACAACTATATCACCATAGAGATTCCCCTATAGCCTGTGTCCACAGAATCACAGAATGATATGGGGTTGGAAGGGACCTCTGGAGATCATCTAGCCCAACCCCGCTGCCAAAGCAGGTCCACTTAGAGCAGGTTGAGCAGGAAATGTGTCCAGGCGGGCTCTGAATGTCTCCAGAGGCAGAGACTCCACCACCTCTCTGGGCAGCTTGTTCCAGTGCTCTCCCACCCTCAAAGTAAAGCAGTTCCTCCTCCTGTTTAGATGGAATTTCTTATGTTCAAGTTTGTGCCCATTTCCTCTTGTCCTGTCACTGGGCACCACTGAAAAAAGGCTGGCCCCATCCTCTTGACACCCACCCCTTAAATATTTATAGGTGTTGATCAGGTTCCCCCCCTCAGTCTTCTCCAAACTAAAAAGTTCGTCCCTCAGCCTTTCCTCGTAAGATTGATGCTCCAGGCCCCATGTCATTGGGGCCCTCTGCTGTACCCTCTCCAGCAGTTCCCTGTCCTTGAACTGGGGAGCCCAGAACTGGACACAGTACTCCAGATGGGGCCTCACCAGGGCAGAATGACCTCCCTTGACCTGCTGGCCACACTCTTCCTGATGCACCCAAG